GTGGGGTAATTGTTTAGGTAATCGACAACTTTTGGCAAATGCCTAACCCATGTTCTTATTAATCTTGGATCAGAAGATATAGACTCAACAGCATACTGAATTTTATAGAGCATTTCCCCTTCTGTCTTATTGAAACGTTCCACCATTCCATTACCTAGATGGGAATATGGACCAATCACTCGAATAGTGACATTATGCTCTTGCATTAGCCTAGAGGTCTTGCCCATCCATTCTCGCCCATTATCGCATTGAAGAAGCTTTGGCCAAGTTAATGGGTTATTTCGATCTCCATATTTTCTCTTAAATGCTTTAGCGACTTCTGAACTTTTCTTCGATGTGAGTGGAACCGAAGCCTTATATCGGGAAGCGCAGTCTATTATATTAAGTAACGCTTTATAGGTCTTACCTTTGTAGTAATCGTGGGTAAGGAACATTATATCGCACTGGTGAACACAATTTGGTCGTGTTATTTTCCCATAACTGACTCTAGGGATATGTTTTGGTGGGGGCATATAGATTTGGTGTGATTGCTGATTTTCCAAAAATTCTTTGCATTCGCTCAGGCAGAATCGATGCCCATCCTTTTTACACGCATCTCTCAATGATTTAGGATTGGAGTAATACCCAGGAGGATGATAATATATTTCACATAATATGATATTTTTTTCGATTCTCTGAGCCTCAATAGGGTCTATCAAGATTTGTGGTTGGCTTATTCTGATTCTCTTTTATAATCACAAAAAAGAATGGCATTTCGGAGGTCCCATCCAAGGCAGAGAAAAACATGTGAAGAATATAAAGCTGAGCTGGAGGAGGAGAACTACCATCTTCGTAGTGAATTGCAAACAGAAGTTGATAGTAACTGCCAAAATGAAAAGCAGATCAGGAAGCTGGAACGTGAATGTGTCCGTTGTGAACAAGAAATCCAAACTCTTAACAGTGAAATAGAACATCTTGAGAATGCTTCAAAAGAGGAAATAGCAAAGCTAAAATCTGAAATCTCCAGCCTAAAAAAGCAACTATATCAAGCTAAGAAGGATATTCATGATAATGAAAAACATATTTCTAGTATATAGAGTCTGTTAGTAGATTCCGAGGAGCAGGTAGAGAAATTGCGATGCCGGATCAGGACTATCTCATCACGAAAAAATTCACCAGAAAGAGGTAATTCTTTGGACTTGTATAATTCTGATGATAATATGGCCACAATCACAGAGCTAGCAAATGCTATAGATGGTTATCTGAATAATAGGACAACGAACAGAGATATTCTAATAGACCAAATAAAAAGGGCGACAAGGCAGATACGTTGAAAAGAGAATAATTTGCATCAGGATTTAGTCTGTGAGCAAAGAAGGCGCTATGATGCAGAAGGTGAGCGAGATTTTGCTATTACGCGAAGAGATCTTGCTGAAGGTGGGATGGTTAATGTTATTGGTGATCTCCATCAGTTGCGGACTAATGCTCAAAACCAGGTAAATAGAATGATAGGTAATATAGCAAGAAAGCTAACTCGTATAGGTGTACTGGTACAAGAAAAATTCGCCTTACAATTATTGTATCAGCGAAATGCCCACCACTTACAGCTAAGTAGAAGGAATATAGGTCTATTAGAATTTAATCGAGACAGGTTATATGAGCGATATGAGAAATGGAAAAATAAGACCCAAGCAGAACGCCAGAATAATTTAAATTTGCAAGGACAAATTTTGGCGCTTCAGAATAATCCACTTAATATACAACAGATAGGAATGGTTGGATACGGACCCCCAATATTTTATGGACGTCCTGGCGAAGATCCAGAAGATTGGCTTAGAGACATGCAAAGATATATAATAGCTAGTCGGATAAATGTTGCACCTGGTGCAGGTCAGGCCCCTGAAAGAGAAGAGGCATTTGGATTAGTAGTATCATGCCTTGCAGGTGATGCATTGAATTAATACAATACTCATGTTAAGGGTAAAAATTGGAGATGTAATAATCTCTCAGACAATTTGGGAGTAGCTACTTTAACTGCTGTTCGAGCTTTGGCCGCCGGAAATGGTGGTGCCCAGATCGGAGGTTTGAATACTGCTGGAGAATTTCAAGGTAAGGCGACCGCCGAAATTGGTAGAATTGGTGCAGGTATTGCAACTGGTGCTGATATTATTCCAAATGGTACTTGGGATGAAGACTGGTCCATAGCTGGTGGTGAACCTGTAGATAATGCACCAGTGGCACCTAATGCTGGTGGTGGTTTACCTGCTGTTACAATTGCTTCTGGTATTAAACTTGGTCAACTTCTTTACTTATTTAGAACCGCCTATACGACAGTTGAACACTTAAAACAGACGGCAATTTTCGGTCAGCTCATGCAAGGTGATATGTCAGTTGAGCAATTTTCTGCCTAAATCAAAAAGGTTGGTAAATTGGCTGAAATGACTCTGGAACAGCAAAGAGAGCAATTTATTCGTGGCTTAAATCCTATGAACCAATATAATATTCGAATGATGGCTAAATTTTATGATACACAGGATAATATTACAAAAGCCCTGGCTGAAGCGGAAAAATTTACATTATCTCAAAAGAGTGCACCATCTTCTCTTCCTATTTTTCCAACAGCCAATCCATATGCAGATACTAACAGATTAGGGGGTGGGATGACTAAAAATGAAATCGAGGACTTGATAAAAACCACAATGGCTTCCTCACAACCTCAAACAGCTCAACAAAACACCAATTTACAATCTTCTATTAAATCATTGCAGAAGACTATGTCTCGAGCAACTAAGACTATAGATAATAGTAAAAAATCGGCCAATAAGAGAGGGGAAGACCTTATTATTAGACGATTTTTAAGTAAGCTACTAAGAACAAAATCAAATAAGCAACCTGAAAATGATTATAATTATGACCCTGTGGATGATATTACTGACAGTATGGCCGGGATGACACTAAATAGTGCCACAATAGATGCTATTAATTCTTCTATTAGAAGTGCTGTTAAGAAATATTTTAAGTGCAGTAGATTTGAACACACTTCTCGTAAGTGCTCTGTAAAGAAGAAAAAGAAAAGTAAGAAGTCTAAAAAGGGTAAGGTTAATCTCGCTATAGAACCAGATTCAGATTCAGATTCTTTCGATACCTCATCTAGCGATAGTTCTGATTCAAGTTCAGATGATTCTTCCGATTCTGGAGGCGATATTACTGTTAATATTGCCAAGGCAAAAAAAAAGTGAAGAAGAGGAGTGAATCCGAGAAATTATCTTCTAAAGAGATGTCTAGTACCAAGCTGAGAGAAATACCACTAGAGGAGACTATTCGTAAAGTCCTTCATAATGAGCTTAAACTAATCTTCCCCCCACAATTTTTCCAAGATTCCAGTCTCATTATGTCCAAACAGATAGTGGCTCCTATGGAGCCGAAGAAAGAACCTCAAAGAGATACCCCCTCACTTGCTGAAAATATATCTCCTGACTCAGATGAAGAGGAGTCTTTGGATGAACCTATGGAGATCAATTTTGTCAAAAAGAAGGAGCCACTTACAAGCACCACTACTATAAAGTGCAAAATCGGTCGCCTAAAAATCCCAGCTATGACTGTTGACTCTGGAGCAGAACCCCCAATTATAACAAAAAATATTGTCGATCGTATTAAGGTTAAAATAGATAAATCTGAAAAATATGACCTTAGCGGTATATCTACTGTTCCAGTTGAAACTATTGGTGTTGTCCGCAATCTGCCTATCACTTTAGCTCCTGGGTGCACCATCCATGAAGATTTTGTAGTTGTAGATTATCACAAGCCGATATTGATATTTTCTAATCGTCTTTTAAAGAAATATGGTTGCGCAATGGACTGGAAAACTGACGAGCTAAAGATTCCTTTCAATGGGAAAGATTATATTATTCCAGTCACTATGCACAAAGTCAAAAACAAGCTTGAGGTGAATTGTGCGAAGATTGTGATGATCTGCCAGCTCCAGATCGCATTTTACAGGACCCGCAAGACTTAAGTGAGGATGAGACATTAAAAAAAAGTGAGTTATGCAAAGTGCCTTTCGGCTGAGAAGCTTGAAAAAATGCTATATAGCACTCTTAAGTTTAAAGAAAATCTCAACAGACTATGTGAGGAGCTATTATCACACTATATCGAACTAAATGAAAAACATCTTTTATGTGGCTAGTATCCTATTCACTTCTTCTGTGATTTTTCTGTCTCTCTTATCTTCTTTCTCATAAAATGCTACTAATTCCTCATTGCTTATATTTAAACTTTTTGAAGCTAGTGGTGTCTGAATAACAGCTGACTCAGAGATACGAACAGATTTAGACTTAGTTTTTTTTCCTTCAGTCTTTTTTACCTTACTTTCAACGGTGATACACTCTGCTGGGACCGCAGGTATGTCCTGTCTATCTATATTATTTTTACTTGAATAAGAAAGTGGGACTGCCGAATAGTTCCATTCGACTCTTCCTACCTCCTGCCCCTCCAAATCTGGTATAAGCGAGAGGTTGATATATGAAATTTTTTTCTTAATTCTTCCAGGGGCTTGGACTTCATATCCCGGTATTGCATGATATCTTCATAATCTGCAGATGATAATTTTGTGGTGTCAGAGCACATATACCTTCTAGGTGGAGGGTTAATCATATTGGTAGTCGATCAGATTTTTATACTATTTATAAAAATATGTATGCGTAATATTAATACTATGTGAACTATGCGAACTATCAAAACTATGCAGAGAACCGGTATTATGCAGAGTGTCAGAAGGATTAGTTCTACGCATGGTATGGAGACTATTTGTGGTACTAGTAAAAAAATGTGCATAAAAAAATTAATACTACATGGAGTATCAGAAGTATTAGGAGTATTAGGAGTATCAGGAGTATCAGAAGTATCAGTGTTATACGCATTATGGGATCCAGCTATCCTATAAAAAAATTTTAGTCACATATTTTTTATTATACTAGCAACTAAGCCGAAAAAAAAGGCTATGACCAATGTACATACCTTGAATGATATTAATAAAGGTGATAGTTCCTTCAAGGGGGTCGGTCAATGACTTGGTGGTGCATATGAGCAAGAGCTTAAAGAAAAATTATATTCCGCTCTTAAATCTAAAGCTGAAATTAATGATCTTAGTGAAAAGTTGGTAGATAAGTACAATAAACGAGAAAAGGAGTTTGAAAATAAAGCTAGCCAGTTAATTGCGTCCAGTACTAAGGTTAGATCTCAACTTATTTCTGAACGGAAGTCTCATTCCGAAAGTCAACGTGAACTTGAAGTCAAATATACTGCTGAAATCCAATCGCTCAAATCAGAGATTAAAACACTGAAGAGAAAGGTGACTTTGGCCCAGAAAGTTTCATCCGCCAATAAGGTCCAGATTCTTTCTCTTGAAACTAAAATACGTGAATTGGAAGGTAAGTTGGAGGACATAGATCTAGAGCGTACATATCATGATTTGGATATAACGGGAGGGGTGGTAGAAGAGCCGGCCCAAATAAGCTCATTCGAAATAGAATCTCTCAGGCTTGAATTGGAACGAGCGAATGAGGACCGTAATTCGAAAGAATATACAATAGAATGTATGGAAAAAGGGATAGAAGCGACACATGAGATAACCAGTCAGGAAATAGATAGCCAGTCTTCAAAACGATTAAAATTAATGGAGGAAAATAGGTCCCTCAAGGAGCAGTTAGCGTTAAAGAAAAATACTTCGTTCCAAATAATTTCAAGTGAGAGGATTCCTTTGGAATCAGGTGGTGCAGAAGCAGTACCATTGTCCCAAGAAATATCTCTAACACCGGTTATTCCTATCGTTGCAAGTTCTCTAATGTTGCCGATGACAACATATTCCATGCTTGCCTTACTACTGATTGTGGTTATATGGCTCGTGGTCAGGAAATGGTAGAATCCATGGGGTATGAATGAAAAAAATGACTGATATTTCACACACGAAAAATATATAAATAGGCCAGATATTTATTATCTTAATACCTAATCGACTACCGTATAAGTACTGGCGCAAGCGGGACTTCTCTGAATCTTCTTTGGATGTCAGCTAATACCTTTTTTGATAAATCTTTGGACGGATTTATTAATATCTTTTTAGCTTGGGCCAGTGTACATGCAAACAACCATCCAATATGGATCCGGTTACCTCCCTTACCATTATGACCGTGTTGTAGTAAATATTGATAGTCATCTATTACAATATCTCTCATCCCTTCCTGATCCACTATTATCTTACTAAATAGCCACCTATCCTCTTCTGTGATTGGGAGACGAATTTTATTTGGTTCAAAACCTATGTATTGGGAAACTATGTCACGTAGTTCAGGCATTATACCAATAAAACTTATCTTTAAAATATGTGGATTTTTCGGCTGATCATTAACATTGTTAACGAAGTTTTGCCAAATTAAAATACTGATGATCATCTCCAGACATTTCTGAGGTCGGGCTGTATGATCGGAGGGATGGATCTCTTATGTTCAGGGTCGAAAGATCAATTATAGAAATTGAAGTTAGCCAGTATTATTGCACAAGAAAAAATATGCGGTCATAAATAATATTGTACGAAGTGCCTTAACGGCTAAGTATTCTTAGCTGAAATTGCCACACCTCCGCTAGAATACTTAACTATATAATTCGATGATATCGTCTATATCGGCTTCAGACGAATCATCTTTTTTACCATCCTGTAATTTCGATAACGTTCAGTAGCGTGTGATTTCTAAGCCAACCACTTTGTACCATATATTTCGGAAATCTGCTAGTAGCTTACACGGTCCCTTTGGGACCCACTCATCCAAATAATATGATGTTAAATATTGTTCTAAGGACATTGCTCTGTGTCTCTTCTTAGTAACTAATTTATATATACTGTCTCTATACTCTATATCAACTTTGGAAATTTCTTTAAACAATGATGAAAGTTTTAAGCAGATGGATTCTTCTTGCTTATCTAACGCATTGAGTAATGATTGGTAATAAGCATTGTTAGTCAGGTGTTCTCCCTTGTCGGCATAAGTAGTATCAAATAATTTTTTCGCATAAATGTGTGCCCCTTCCCATAAATGAGATATGATGGTTTTATCTTTTTTCAGACCATCACGTAGGCTTTTGATATACCCCCTAATCCACTTTTCAGCCGATTTCTGTGCTAAGGCATCTCTTATTTTTGATACCTCATCTTCATCTATTTCATCTTCATCTTCTTCATCTTCATCCAGGTCATCTCCATCCACCCCACCGTCATCTGCTTTATTATCACCCGCTTTATTAGCATCTTTCAACTTTTTTAAGGCCTCCAGCACAATTTCAGATGATGGCTGGAAACTTTCATCATAGTTAATAAATCGTGCACAGAGGCTGACGACAGTTTTCAGATAATAGCTGATATCGATCTTTTTACCTAATCGCCTCACTACCTCTGGATACTCCATTTTATCTCCGACCTTATCTGATGAATCATTCTCAACTACAACATACTCAAAACGCTCACCCGGTTCTGGGATTTCATAAAGATAAGACTCGGATGTTAGCCCTCTTTTTATGAGCCATTTGGCGTCTGCTTCTTCACGAGTATGTTTATCTCGCATTCGTGAAATAAAACGCTGGACACTCTTGTTATTCTTATCGGGCTTCCACACAGCAGTTTTAATCACCCATTAAGATCTATCTGTGAAATATCATTTATGGTCTCTTTGAGCACGTCCTCCACAATCCGACGCACACAGGTCGAACAGATGTCATTGTCGCAAAATTTGCCTGGAATTTTTCTGGCAAATTGAGAATTATCCCGGTAAATTAAGGTAAATTGTGTTACAATTTTGGGATAATGGAGGTCTTACAATTTGGCAAATTTTGTCAAAATGGCGGAATTCCTACAGAATTCCTAATTCAAATGTTGAGAAATTTTTCAGTAAATTATCATTAAATTGTGGGAAATTTTAGGCAAATCTTTAGTAA